CTTTGCAGCGCCACGGTCCAGCTGTATAATCACTGGTTTAATACAAACTTCTGTAAGCTAAAGAGCATCCATAAATCTTTCTGTATTTCCTCCTGTTGTTTTACAGATGGTCTGATTATTATTTTTTTTTCCTTAATGGTCACACAATTATGAGTGGTTGAAACAAAGCTTGTGCTTGCTTTTTTTTTTCTTTTTATTGGAAATCAATGAGAGAGACCACTTCTAAATTAGGTCTGTCTATCTCTGCTATAAATAAACTTACTGTGCTTTGCTGTTTTGCAGACAACTGCAAATCTAGGTGGCTCCTAAATTAAAAGAAATGTGTTTTAAACCTAATGGTCTTTTGATCATTCTGATTTTTTTGTTTGTTTCATTTTTTTGTGACAGTTAATGTGCAATTTATAGTGTTTAGTCTTGTGTTGGTTGTAAAAAGGAATGGAAGTATCTGCTTCCTTGATTTCATTTCAGAACATGTTAACTTCCATTTATGTGAACTATATGGAACAACTGGGATCATCCTGGTTAGAGCTGATGGTTGTCACTGTCAAACATGGAAGACATCAATCGCGAATCACCCATTGACACTGAATTTCTCACTCTTTCAGTGATAGTCTTGTAGGCAAAAGAAGCTGTCAGCCTTAATTGATTTGAATATTAGGCCTAGGATAATAATAATACATCTTGCAAATGTTACAGAGCACTAAAGCAGTTTGCTCATTTCAGAAGGAACTTCTTTACAGTGAGGGTGACAGAGCACTGGAACAGGCTGCCCAGGGAGGTTGTGGAGTCTCCTTCTCTGGCGACATTCAAAGCCCTCCTGGATGCCTTTCTATGTGATCTCATTTAGGTTCCTGCTCCGGCAGGGGATCGGACTAGATGATCTTTCGAGGTCCCTTCCAATCCCTAACATTCTGTGATTGAAATACACTAGTTTCCTTTCTCTCTGTAATCTTTTTTTTTAATTTCACAACATTTGAGCACTTCTGTTGGTTCAGAGTATGCAAAATATTTGTACAAGGACAACTGAAGTAATTTATTACAAAGCTTAGGCTGTAGGGGAACCAATGGTTGGAATGCACAAGTGCTTTTGAACAGTGGGCTTGACCCACTAAGTGGGAGTCCTGATTCTCATTGCCAACTTGCGGCATCTGTTCCTCTGAGGAGTTCTTAACTGCTTGCTTGTTGGAGACTGGTTACCTTCCTGAATTGGCACCTCTTGAGATTACAGTTGGAACAAACAGTTTAGTGGGGGTGAACGATCTAGAAGGTAGACTGGACTCAAATAGCACCTGAATATAACATGAGAAAAAGTAGAAGGTTGATACATTTGTTCTTTTTTTCCAGTAGCTCAACTTTGTCACCTCGTTTTTGGAGTTCTTACTGAATTTGAACAAACACTTTTTAATGTTTGCATATTACTTGAAGTTGGTTTCATGAGTGGCGTTTCTGTGGTGTATAAAAGCCTAACTTATAAACATGGCAAGAGAGTTAGCTGTAAAATGGACATGTGACTGTAGCATGGTTTCATTCACATTTTTCTCAAGCTGGCAAGTAGTCCTTTCCAAGTGCCATGTATAGAATGTAAAGTCTCAAAGTGAGCTCCCTTTAAATGTGTAAGTTTCTTAAACTTTTCTTCTTCTTTTGTGCATCCTTCAGGTTGAACTTCAAGATGTCTTTTGGGAGAGATATGGAGCTGGAGCATTTTGATGAGCGTGACAAAGCACAGCGATACAGCAGAGGGTCCCGGGTAAATGGTTTGCCGAGCCCTACTCACAGTGCCCACTGCAGCTTTTACCGAACCCGTACTCTACAGACCCTGAGTTCTGAGAAAAAAGCCAAGAAAGTTCGTTTCTATCGTAATGGAGACCGGTATTTCAAAGGGATTGTATATGCCATCTCCCCTGACCGGTTTAGATCCTTTGAAGCTCTCCTGGCTGATCTCACCCGAACTCTGTCTGACAATGTGAATCTGCCCCAGGGAGTGAGAACAATCTACACGATTGATGGCTCCAAGAAGATTTCCTCCTTGGACCAGCTAGTAGAAGGTCAGCAGTAAGATTTGGAGGTGTAAAGTTATGTTAGAGTCAGTGTTTGTCTAATCTGTTAAGTCTTCCTCAAATATGTAATGATATTGTTACTATTGATAAAGAAAGGATCTTCAGTAGTATAACTAGAATTGTGAGCATCTGAAATTGTGCCATGAAATATTGTTGTCTTGTTACTTATTTCCCTCCTGTTGAAAGTGTCTGACCTTTCCCTTTCTGTTAAGCTAATGTTGGTAGTCCTACATCTTGAAGATCACATCTGCTGCCTGTCTTGAACTTGCATATTTAAAAATGCAAATAAGAGTTTAGTCAGTTAAACTTGACAAAGTCTGTGGTGCTGATGAAACCTACATGAAATTCACTTCAGGTGGATTTTTTTTTTTTAAAGTTCATCTGTACCTATGAAGAGCTCCAACTCTTCCCTACAAGTAAAAATGCCTCTAGTAAAATACTCTCATGGAGTGGCACTAATGCAGGCAACCTGTTAAGAGGAATGTTGTAGCCATGGTTCAGCTGGATTAGATTGTAAACTTTTCTCCCTTGTAGCATTTCCCTTTTCCTCTTCCCCAGTCCATTGGCATCCTTCTGTTATTTTTAAATAAGGTTCATGTACCTGCAATGTGAAGCATTACCAGTGATTTGGTCAGAACTGACTGGTCTTGGTCACTGTCAAACATCAGAGATGCCAGTTGCTAATTTGCCTGTTGACACTAAATTTCACTCCTTCGCTGGCAGTTTTGTTGGCAAAAGTACCTGTCAGCATTAATCCATTTGAATATTAGGCCTAGGATATTAATAATACCTTTTACAAGTTTTACAAATTGCTAAAGTAGCTTTTCCAACATAAAGTGCTTCTGGCTTGCAGTGGGTTTCTTTTTCTGCGTGTAGGCAATAGCTCCTAGTATAAAACATCAGAATGTATAACATCTGAAGGCATTAACTAGCACATGGCTGTGACTGAGGTTATTTTTTTTAATCTGTAAAGTTTAAATGCAGGTGTTTAACTGTGTTCAAAGAAAATAAAAGTGGAACAATTTTTTCACCATTGTTTTCATCCTGCCTCTGGCCCCAGTGTGCCGTGAACAAACCTGTAAAGCATGGATCTATAGCCACTGGAGTAGCAATTTAGAGTTGTAAAAGAGATTGTAATTTCTTTATGATTTTAATTTTTAGCACTGGGTTAGAGAATTTGCAGTATCAGGATGTAATGAGAGGATCAGAAGGCAGCTAATGTGGGGAGAGAAGAAAAGCCTCATGCCAAATAAGATTCCTGAAAGTGGGGCACATCTTTGCATAGCAGGTGCTCAGCCACCATTGAGTTATCTACTTTAGATATCATAGCAGAGGAAAGCTTTTTAAGGAGAAGTTTTGAGAAGAGGATATTCTTGATAATCCTCCTTGCATAAAAAGGAGAGTAGGAAACAACATGAAGATGCTCAAAAAGAAAATTGAAGCAGTGGGATTGTCCATGTAAGTAAGGGGTTTTGGAGTGGGGACTGTAGGTTTAGTGAAATGGAAAGGAAACTGGTCTTAAGATCAATGTCATGAATTCCAGGGCAGAGTTTTCATCAGGACAGTGTTTAACTGGTGGAGAAAATCAATTTCTGAGAGGAAAGGCCAATGTTAATCAACATCTGTTTAAAAGCAGTGTTTGTGCATTTTATTCTCAGTAGTGGTATAAATAATTGTGCTTATTTGATTGCTATGCTCATCAAGAAGCAAGTATCATTGATATTAATGTTGATTTGCACAGTCTTTTGCTGCCAGTCAGAACCAGGTTTTGAAAAGAACTGAATGCAGGAATAAATTCAGCAACCTATCAGATTGGTTTATTTTGGCATCCTAGAGAAGAATGGTATCAGTTATAAATCAGTCAGTCAAAATGAATGACAGTACAAGAGCAGAAGTTTATTTTAAAGAAGGGCTTTGGGCTTCCTTTTAGTTTTGTGGGACTTTATTCCTTTTCAAAGAACACATCCTCTCTTTCTGTGTATAGTTCAAGTTGGACAGTCTTGTTTTCTTGTGCCATTAACACTGTGGGATTTACAGAAGTCAGTCTTTGTGTGCAATTAGAGAGCTACATCCTTCTACCACCTGAAAGGAGGCTTCTCTCTCTCTATTTGTATAAAACTGCAAGGCGAGTTATCTTGTTCTGTTTCCCTCATAGCCTCACTATAGAGTACAGGCTCATATATTATTAGCTCAGTGATAGTTTTTATGTAAGCTTCTTCCACTCTTTACTGTACAAATTTATTTGCTAGTCTAGTACAGGATTAATTAGCTGGAAGCTGTCCTTTGTGTTTAAATAGCTGGAAAATCACTTGATTTTTACATCTTGCCAAATGACATTTGTGCTCAAACTATCGAAATACAAAGCATTGCTTTCTTCATGTTGAGACTATTCCCTTACTGTATGAATTAATTTAATGAGACTGTTATGAATTTAGATTATTTTTTCTTTTTTCTTTTTTTTTGAAGGGGGGAGGTGGTCATTTATTTTAGTGATGGCATTGTAAGGTAAATGTCTGAAGTCTGTTACGTGTTGTTTTTTCTTCTTCTATGCCTATGAGGAAGTTACTGTATTCTTACCTTCCCATACAGTACATGAAGACAGAGAATCAACTAGTTCCTGGGGGGAAACAAGACAGCAGCCACTGTCTTTCATCCCAGAGCTAAACACATAGAGCTGCACGAAAGATAGTCCCAAAGGAAAAAGACTGTAAAGGAGCTGTTTTGCTTCAGTAATATTTATTTCTGTCCTGCATACAATTCAGAGCTGGCATGGCTGCATGCTGGTGCTGCAGGTTATTTTGAGGAGCATGGACACATCTTCCCTTTAGAAGACTTGGGGCATGTGGGATTTGTTGGAATTTCATAACAAGGGGTATGTACCGTTGTAAAATTTTCACATGCTCCGTAACTTCCCCTGTCACCGTGGGTGAAGGAAAGAATACAATGAATTCAGGTTACCTTCTTTTAATGGATCTGATGTTCAGGATCCTCTTACTTTTAAATGATGGTTTCCAAATGTGATGTGACTTTATTCCCTAGGTATGACATGTAATCAAAGCATTTAGAAACAATGAAGATGAAGTTGCTCTTAGGGCTGAATTGTCTAGCTGTAAACCAAGTCTCAAGAAAGGACTAAGTGCCTTTAGCTTCACAGTTCAGGAAGGACAGGGAACTGCTTGAGAGAGTCCAGCGCAGAGCCACCAAGATGATTAAGGGAGTGGAGCATCTCCCTTATGAGGAAAGGCTGAGGGAGCTGGGTCTCTTTAACTTGGAAAAGAGGAGACTGAGGTGTGACGTAATTAATGTTTATAAATATGTTAAGGGCGAATGTCATGAGGATGGAGCCAGGCTCTTCTCAGTGATGTCCAATGGTAGGAACAAGGGGCAATGGGTGTAAGCTGGAACACAGGAGGTTCCGCTTAAACTTCAGAAGGGACTTCTTTATGGTGAGGGTAACAGAGCACTGGAACAGGCTGCCCAGGGAGGTTGTGGAGTCTCCTTCTCTGGAGACATTCAAGACCTGCCTGGACGCCTTTCTGTGTGATCTCATTTAGGTTCCTGCTCCGGCAGGGGGATTGGACTGGATGATCTTTCAAGGTCCCTTCCAATCCCTAACATTCTGTGATGGTACACTTCTGGAAAAGCAAAAGGCAGAGGTGGACTGATGGGTCATACCCCCAAAATTACTATTCAGCAGTGTAACAAGAACAGTAATAGATTGGAATGAGCAAGATAACTCTGAAACAAAGAGTATTATTTACGGTTTTTATTCCTGGGGTCCTGTTATGTGAGACAAAGACCACAGAATCAATCCATAGCCAGAACTGCATCCCTCTCTCATTAATTTTTATTATAATATTACCTCAGAGTCCTGAGTATGAACCAGAATCAATTGTTTTAGGTTTCCACCATACCTACCACAAAAGATGAACCCTGCAGCAGAGAACTGGCAGTCAAAGACAAACCAAAAACCCCAAACCGCAAGATGGGTGAGAGAGTACTGGGAAACAATATTGGTTACACTGCCAAGCTATTGTGGAGACTTGTATGTGTGCATGCACATTTTATGTAAGCATAATGGCAAAAATAGTTTTAAGGAATAATCTGAAAAAGAATGTCTCACAGGGATTATCTCCTCACTGAAGGAGCAGTTTGAAAGAGCATAGATAGACCAGTTTTAAAATCTGGTAAGGACTGTAACTAGCTAATAACTCTGGGGAGATGTGAACCTCACTGCAATGGCAGAGGAGATGATGGGTCACATGAAGACTGCAGGAAGGCTCTTGCAAGTGGAGGCAGGCAGTTTGTGTTTGACACAGCAGAGAAGCTGCCTACCAGTGGAGGGTTCAAAAGGCAGTGCCTCCTTGCTGAAGTAGTGGACTGTGACAGAGTTCCTGACTTTTTTTGTATGTGGGTATTACTATTCCTACTGTCACCTCATTCCTCTTATCTCAGCTTTTCACTCTCCTGCCTGCTACTGTTGCTGCCTCCTTGACTCTGCCACCCACTCCAGTGGGTCAGAGTCTAGGAGTTGATTGACGTGGTCTTTGATGTGCTCTGGAGCTAATGCTTTCTTCTAAGCCATGCCCACCTCAGCAGCTGGGAATTGATGGACTGGAAAGATTCATATGCATATGTAATATGCTATCAAAATAAAAATAGTAATCTGTTTAAATGTTTGTAGAGCTGAATCTATGTGGACATTTGTTTATCGGATTTAATTCACACTGGGTATTTACCATGGACTTGATCCAGGGCTGTGAAAGTTACTGAAACTTGGACTGGATCCTGTGGCAGAAATGCCTGCAATCCTTATATTGTTTAATAAACAAACAGCTGAATAATCCTGTCGCATAAAATGGTAGAGGGTTGTTCTGGCACTGTTTATTTGATTATTTTATTTCATGAATTTGAGAAGATTAATCCATTAGCCAGTCGATTTACATTGTGTCTTCCTTAACAATTTCTTGGGAGGTCCCATGGTTTCT